AATCCATGAATCTACTGCAGGGCTCGCTCTAGTCTATGACTCTACTGCAGGCCTCACTACAATCCATGACTCCACAGCTGATCTCACAACAATCCATGACTGTACTGCAGGGCTTGCTCTAAGCCATGACTCTACTGCAGGCCTCGCTTCAATCCATAACTCTAGTGCAGGGCTTAATTCAAGCTAAGATTTCATTGCAGGTCTCGCTCCAGTCAGTCACTACAGTGCAGGTCTCAATCCAATCCATGACTTCACTGCAGGCCTCGCTATAATCCATGACCCCACTGCAGGCCTTACTCTAGTCCCTGTCTGTACTGCAGGCCTTGCTCCAATCCATCACTTCAATGTGGGCTTTGCTCCAATCCATAACTCCACTGCAGATCTTACTACAATCCATGAATCTACTGCAGGGCTCGCTCTAGTCTATGACTCTACTGCAGGCCTCACTTCAATCCATGACTCCACTGCAAGACTTACTTTAGTCCATGACTCTACTGCAGGGTTTGCTCCAATCCATGACTCAACTACAGGGCTCAGTCCGGTCTAGGACTCTACTGCAAGGCTCGCTCCAATCCATAACTCTAGTGCAAGGCTTGATTGAATCCAAGACTTTACTGCAGGCCTTGCTCCAGTCCATGACTCCAGTGCAGGCCTCAATTTAACCCATAAATCTACAGCACGGCTCGCTCCAATCCATGACTTCACTGCAGATCTCACTACAATCCATGACTCCACAGCAGATCTCACAACAATCCATGACTGTACTGCAGGGCTTGCTCTAGGCCATGACTCTACTGCAGGCCTCGCTTCAATCCATAACTCTAGTGCAGGGCTTGATTCAAGCTAAGATTTCATTGCAGGTCTCGCTCCAGTCAGTGACTACAGTGCAGGCCTTACTCTAGTCCCTGACTGTACTGCATGCCTCACTCCAATCCATCACGCCTTGCTCCAATTCCATAACTCCAGATCTCACTACAATCCATGAGTCTACTGCAGATCTTACTCTACAATCCATGACTCTACTGCAGGCCTCACTTCAATCGATGACTCCACGGCAGGACTTACTTCAGTCCATGACTCTATTACAGTGCTTATTATAATCCATGACTCTACTGCAGGCCTCGCTTTAATCCATGACTCTACTACAGGCCTTGCTCTTATCCATGACTCCAATGCAGGGCTAGCTCTAATCTATAACTCCTCTGCTGGGTTTGCTCCAGTACATTCCTCCACTGTAGGAGTCGCTCCAGTACATGACTCCACTGTAGAAGTTGCTCCAGTACATGAAACCACTGCAAGCCTCACTTAAGTACATATCTCCACAGTAGGACTCACTCCAGTACATGACTTTACAGAAGGCCTCACTGCAGATTAGCACTCGACTCCAAAGTCCACTTAAGTCTATACTGCATGGCCACGAAGCCACTCAAAAATGGCTGCTCTGCAAAGATAGACTTCAGTTCTGCCTGTTCCTCTGCCTGCACTATTGAGGTGATCTTTAGCAGTGCTTTCTTAGGGCACACTCACACTAGGCATGGTTGCATTGAACCGTGCCGGGGTGTGATTGCCCTCTCTCCCCTCTCCCCCTCAGCCTGCACTCACATTACATTTTATCTTCCTAGCCTGAACATGCTTACATCATCGATGATGTGTCTGTTCAGACAAGAAGCGATCTCACTCTGTATAATGGAGATTGCTTTAGTTCTATTGTTTAGTATTATTTTAAGTCGTTTGGGATTGCAGTTACACACAGTTAAATATTTTGCTGAACAGATCCACCACTTTTGACGGTCATTAACGTTAATAAAATCATTGTGCGACATGTATTAGGAGGTTTGCTAAAGGTATCAGCTGATGTGCAGCGGGGGGTTTGTAACAGATGTTGCCTCTTCAGTTTTGCGATCAGGCACGCTTTGCACTCACACTAAGACTGTATTGCGCCAAAGCCCAACCGAACCACACTCTGGCACTCCATTTCCAACCAGGCCAGGGCCAGCCAACTAAACCGAAGCAGGGTGTAAGTCGAACACTCACACTTGTCAAACAATCCAGGAAATGGGGGTCAAACGCACATGGGCATGGTTCAGATAGCCTAGTGTAAGTAGACCCTTAAGGCTTGTACACACCGGGACGCTTTTCATTTGCGTTTATCGTCAGCATTTTACAAGACGTTTTTACGGATTTAAACCCAAGCGGTTTTCATTGGCGTCAAGCAGAAGAGTATGCAAAATCACTCCTTGACGTTAGCTAGCGCTACAAAACTTTAAGCTTCAGATACCCGCTTGTAACACAGAAGAAGACAAAGTTAACACGCTTGTTGTTATGGATGGTTCAAGCAGCAGCTCCAGCTCTAGCGATGAAGAAATGATTATTGTTCACCAGAGCATTGACAGTTTTGCGCTTGTGCGCATCCAAGTGCTGTTTACTGTAACTTTTTTATTGTCTTTTTTGCGGCGCGTCAAAACAAAAACCAAGCATGAGGCGTTGTTTTTTAAATGATGCTTTTGCGCTTGCTATATTGTGCGTTGGTGTGCACGATCACATTGACGCCCTTTATTTAGTAACGAGGCATTAAACGTTGACGGAAAACGAGAGCAAAAAATGCCTCGGTGTGCACGGGCCTTTGGTCATCTTTGCTAGATCAACCATGGCCACCTGCTATGCTCACACTGCCCTTTCTTCCTGCCCTGCTGACTCTGTCTTCCCTCCACATTCTGCCACTTGTCTGTTATCATGCCTTGGCCCAGGTTCTCTTCTTCTCCACAATCCACTGCTCCACAGCCTGCCATTGCTTCTAAGCTTAAGTCATCCACTGCTCTACACACTTCTATTCCCCCGTGCTCCATATCCACCTCAGTTCTCTAGCCTTCTCTTCTCCACAGTCCAGCTCCACTTGTCATCTCCAGCGATCCATTCCTGACAGACGTGTTAAGGAACTACAAATCCTGTCATGCACCACACACACACACCTGTTTCCAGAACTCTGATAATTACATGCACTGAGCTGTAGCGCTTCATGGACCGATTACATGGACAACTTATTCACCACACAAACACTAGTTCAGAACGAAGTCGTTAATGTTGACGTGATGTGTTGAGGTAATGTTAGTAGGCTTGTCCTGATGTTTCTTTGTTTTTTTCTGTTTGTATTTCTGACCACAGCCTTGTTATATTATTAAACTTGTTTATTTGCCTATTTTGACCATTGCCTGTTTTTTTTTTTTGACTATGTTCCTGGATTGTTCCTTTTGTACTAGCCTCACCTGATTTTGATCTTGTGTGCCTGCACGAATAATCTTATTAAACTGCAATTGGATCCTTACCCCTGTTGTCCCTCGCCTTGATCCCTGTACGTGACACCACTATTGCACCCCAATCCTGGCTATCCACTGCTTTATAATCCTCAACTGTAACGAACCAGACAGAATAACAGAGGTGCGGGCAAAATAAGGAGAGTTTATTAACTCTTTGTTGACAAAAGTTCAACACAGGCAGGCTGCTGTATGCTGAGCCTGGCGGTGCGCAGCACTGGTAAGGCTTACTAAAGTTCCGATGAGAGCAGAAGGGGCCCGCAAGGCTGGTCTGTGAAGGAGTATAGGAGGAGAGCTGGCGATTGCTGACAACCCCGGCTGGGGACAGGAAACTGACAGGCACTTGAGAGCTGGAGATCGTTGGGCAGAGCAGAGTGGAGGTAAGAACTGAGAGCACACACTTATAGCACGAAAGGCAGAACTTACTGGACAGGACAAATTACAGATAGATAATTATGAGTGGCTGATCCACAGTAAACTTGACGTACAACTAGTATGGTATAATAATCTGACACTGAAACAGAAAACACAGAGGTATAAATAAAGACGCTAATAAGCTACAAGTGGAGGCAGGTTTTGAGGCATGATTGTTAATGGAAAAGTTCTACAGCTGAGAGACAAAAACAATACTGAGAGTGAGAGAATTAATGAGATCAGACCTGACTCATGACATCAACCATCCTCCTTCCCCTCGTTCTACCTTTTCTTCTCCACCTTCTTGGATATTCTGTTGATATTGTTTTGTGTTTTTTTGTTTGGGACTCAGGAGTTCCCTTTGGAGGAGGGAATCTGTAATAGTCTTATTTGCTTGTTTATTATGTAATTCCTCATGTGATCCTGTCACGTGCTTCGACTACTTCTCTTGTATCATGTGTCTTGTTATTGGTTGTTCTTGTCATGTGACCTCTATTGATTAATATATATATAGACCTCTTGTTACCATTGTCATTTCTCTACATTTGTTGTGTAATCTGCTGTTAGGTGTGTCTGTGCCACGTTTAAGCCATGTCTTTTTCCCGGTGTCAAGTTAATAAACTGCACTTGGGTTCTTACCCCTAGCATTTAGTGTATGTTGTTATAAAGAAAGTCACACATGCAAATAAGGTAAATAAATTGAATATACTAGCAATATTGATAAAAACGAACTGTTTTTGTTTAATAGGAACTTCTTCTTTTTTTTTTTTTTTTTTTTTTTAGAATATGCAAAGATCATACAAATACAAGAAAACATCAACAAATACAAAGCAACAAAACAAAAACAACAACAATATAGTCAGGTACTGGTATGTGCGTGAGTGTGCGTGTGTGCGTGTATGTGTGTGTGTATGCATGTAAAGGTAACTTGGTGGACAGGTCAGAGTACATACATAAGGAACAATAACAGTCAATAAATGAAGCAAGTGTCACAGATATAAATACAACATATAGAAAGAAACCAGTCAGAGGTAGGGAGTAACAACAATGCTTATTAATGTATGATGGTAAAAATGAAAGTAAAAAGAAAAAAAGGACAACTGTAATGATAACTGACAATAATAATAAATCACAAGTGCTACACCAACTACTTCTACAGAAAGTTACTTATATTACAACTACTACTGCTTCTACTACAGCCACAACCACGACTACTACTACTACAATGTCTACTAAAACTGATACTACTTAATAGGAACTTCTTGTAAGTCTTACCTGAGGAACTTCTCCAGGTCATCCCGACTGCAGGTGGACCAGGAGAGGTCGCTGGGGTTACGCCCTTTCACCCATTCGCCAGACATGATGTGAGAGTGGCCAGTGCAGCTGGCATGATCATCATCATGGCTCATGCCCATGCTAAACAGAAAAGACAATAAAAAAACACAAACACTAATGAAAAACATCAGCAAACTCAGAGCACAATAAATACTTACTGTGCTTGTTAAACATAATCATTAACACGCTGTTTACGAAGCTTCCCCTGTATGCATAACTATGCAATATTACTCTGAAATGTGCAATGCTCATGAAAAACCAAAGCGAGTTTAGTCGGAGACAGTATTTTCTCTTAAGCCCTGACCTACATTTCCCAAATTAAAAACAACAAGTGAAAACTGAAGCGGCGGCAACGAGTGCAGGAACTAATAAAGAGAGCAGGGTGGATTTCCAGACTCCCGCTAAAGAGCAAAGCAATAAAAGCCTAAAGACACACACTGAACACAATAGAGAGCTAAATGAAGGAGGAGAAGAATCCGAACGCTACAGTGGTTTAACATAGATGAGTGCTTTAATGTCAATGGGGCGATTTGGTGAATAAGTGGTCTGAGATGGGAATCTCTCTCACACTACAACAATCACAGGCGCTTTATAAGGGTGCCAAATGCCTGTTGTGTTCACTTTATTTAAGAGAGAGAAAGAGGGGGAAAAAAAAACAAGATTGGCCTTATTAAAACAGGGCATTTCGCTGCCAAGCTAATAACGGTCAAGTGCTTTCAGGAGCCAAACGCCCTATTAAGCTTGCAGTGGACTTAAAAGACTTGGAAGGGAAGGCGTCATGCATGACCAATGAGTGGTTCAATGCTTCAGGATACGGCCTGGTAATCTGAAGAGAGAACTAGATGTTGGTAATTTTTTGCTAAGTACGTTTATGTATGACTAGGTCAGTCAAATTTATTAGCTCAATATGTATTTGTTTTTTATTAAAATGTTTTTTTAAGGGGTAAAATCAAGTTTAGCGATGAAAAATAATGTCCAATTAAGTTAAATGAAACCTAATGATTCATTTTGATTTGATGTCTATACACTGTTAGTAAGGGTCAACACTTTTTGTCCATTCCACATTTCTTTGTTTGTTTGTTTGTTTGTTTGTTTCTTTCTTTCTTTCCTTCCTTCCTTCCTTCCTTCCTGTCTTTCTTTCTTTTTCTTTCTTTCTTTCTTTCTTTCTTTCTTTCTTTCTTTCTTTCATTCGATAATTCATTCATTCAATCATTCAATCATTCATCATTAATTCTGCTTAGTGTCTTATTTATCAAGGGTTGCCACAGTGGAATGTACCGCCAACTATTCCAACATATGTTTTACGCAACGGATGCCGTTCCAGCTACAATCTAGTACTGGGAAACACCCATACATACTCATTCACACACACACACACACACAGACACACACACACACACACACACACACACACACACACTCATTTATTATGGCCTATTTAGGTAATCCAATTCTACTATAGCGCATGTGTTTGGACTGTGGGGGAAACGGGAGCACCCGGCAGAAACCCACACCAACACGTGGAGGACATGCAAACTCCAGACAGAAAAGCCAACTGGCCCAGCTGAGGCTCGAACCAATGACCTTCTTGCTGTGAGTTGACAATGCTAACCACTGAGATACTGTGCCACTGTTTTATGTTCAATCCACTTAAGTTTTATATATATATATATATATATATATATATATATATATATATATATATATATATATATATATATATATATATATATGATCATGTTAGAAAAATAAGTTGAATGTGAACAGATGTATTAAACAAAAGCATGAATAATTAAGTAAAAACCAAAATCTTGAATTTAAAGCAAGGGTATATATAGAAAATATAGACTTCTGAATCCAAACAACTGAAATAAAATGAAACAAAACAAACAATCAAAAATCAAACAAAACAAATTAAATAAACAACAAATCAAACAACGAGAAAAACAAGCAAACCTCAAAACAAACCAAAACAATCAAAAAACAATCAAACAAACAAAACAATCAAACACTAAACATAAACAAACAATCAATCAACTAACAGAACTAAACTGAACAAGTGTAGCAAAATTAGCTCAGTTTATGAATATTAATGATCAATAAGAACGAGTTAATATTAGTTTTTAATATCCTGAATTAACTTATAGTTAAATTGACCGAATAAATTTAACAAAGACCTCGCCCGCTAGTCTGAGCAGACTATGTAATGATCTGTTTATTGAGAAAGGGAATAATAACTACTTCTTGTGAAGTAGATTAATCATTTACAAGTTTTGAAAAACTTAAAATCAATTGATCAGTTTTCTGTGAGGCAAACGAAGACAATCCAATGTGGTTATAGCATGATTTATTGACTAGTCTAACATATAACAAACAAACGTACAAAACAACAACAAAAAATAAAAAAGAAAGCAAGCGAGGAAATAAGAGTTTAGACAAAAGAATGGCAAATCTAGCTCAGTTCCACACAACTATTAAGGACCACCAAGATAATAAAAACACCTTTTTGACAAGGGGTGCACAGCTTAATCGCATAACTAAATACCTGGATTTAGTGGGTTGTTCTCTGTCTCTCTTTGTGAGTTTCTCTGACGCGTAGAGCAATGTAGTCCTTTAAGATGTCCTTTCTTGATGCATGGAGCTTGCGATGCAGATCTTCTAAATCTACTGTCGATCCGATAATAATACCAACGTTAGTATCGATATATCGATATTAGGATCGATCCGCCCACCCCTAATTGTTACTTAAAGCATTACCAGACATTTTGTAAATTTTCTGCCATCGTTTAATCAAAACTGAATTTTTGTTTAGTAAGGTTGTTTGCTTGGAAATTCATTTCAACTTTAAATTAAATTGTTTTGAGAATGTGGTTGTTGTTTTGTAACTTTCAGTTCCAGATTTTCATATTGTTGTATCTCAGCCAAACAGTGTCCTATCCTAACAAGGTATACATCTAGGGAGTTCAAGCAATTCAGCAACTCCTTTTTAAAAGATGACACTTACGACTGGTTTTGTGAACCCAGGCTCATTCTGAAAATGTAGCCCAATATAAATTTCTGGAGAGCGCCAAATACGTCACTACGTTTTATTCCAGTTTTCATTTTCGCAAATCTGTCAGAGGCCTCTCTGTGTGTGCTTTTTCAGATCTC